CTTAGACTTTTATCAGACAAGAACAGGAAATAATGCTAAATCAAATATCCTCCGGCTATAGAAGCTTTGTTATGTGTAATTAAGGTGCACAAACTAAGCAACTACAATAATGATGTAAATTTCATTTAACATATAAGAACTCCTCTAAGGCTATCAAACATCATATATCAAACAATTCTATCAAACAATCTGAAATCCATACTAGCATGCTGTTCCAAAAGCTCAATGAAAATGCATATAAAGGCATTTCTCCTAGCATTCTATCATGCAAATCATGAGTAGATCCTTAGCCCTAATCTAGCATGCAATTCTCGTAAAATCATACCAAAACAATAAGCATAACACATATATGGGTATTTTGGGAAATACTTACTTGAGTTCAGTTTATTGCATACATCGCAACCCTTTTTCTTAAAAACTTTTTGGAAAACTCATTTTCTTTTTAAAAAGAATTTATTAACTCCTCAGTTTGAGTTCAGACACACCCAAGAGTGTGTCTGAATCCCTCAAACCAAGGCTCTAATACCAACATGTAACGTCCCAAAAATACCAAGTAAAATTTTGATTTTAGAACAAGTCAAAACCCTTCATACATTATCTCAAAAGACGGTTAGAGTAAAAGTATTCTTAAAACATCATAGTGAAACCACAAAACCGTATGCATAAAGCTTAGTGAGTTCCTCCAAAATACCACATACCATACATATAATGGGCCTTGCCCGACAATGATCGGGCCTCGCCCGTAACATATCTGCCAGTAATCATGTGATGGGCCCCACCTAACACACTCATCTGGTCCTGCCTGGAATCGGGCCCTGCCCGACATCGGGCTCCGGCTGGTATACATACAAAAACATACAATACATGAAAGAGTCGCAAAGATAACTAACATACTATAACATAATCCAATGGACCGGCAATTGTGCCTTCGGCCCACAAGTACTGTGAGAAGACTCACCTGAACTACTCATCGAAAGCTCAACCACCACCACAGCAACAGAACAGCCAACCCAAGCTTCCTAAAGCTAAACTAAATCAATCCTTAGTCAATTCTACTGAATTTTGACCAAAAGTCAAACTGGTCAAAAAGTCAACGGTCAAAGTCAAACAATCAACATGCAGACCATTGCTACGTTGTAGCCTTCCTTGGCCACGCCGTGGTCATGCCAGGACAAAAAAATCGAGGTATTAAACTCCGCCACCCCGTGGTCACCTTTGCCACGTCGTGGGAAACTGTCTGAAGTGTCATTTCTTCACTAAGCACTTAATACTTATAGATCTAAATCCAAAACTTCAGATCTACTCCTTCTGAATGACTTAATGGATAAAGTTTCCAACTTTATCCATTAGGAATTCATCCAAAGGTAGAATCATGATCCATATGTCCAATAAGCAGTTAATATGACCAAAAGTCAAACATGGGGTCAAGAATACTCAAACTTAGACCTTTTTCTCACTAATATCATAAGTTCATGACCATGAGAGAACCATATCATGCTCTGGACTTCCTCAAACTCCAATAGCATCTAAGAATGGGACCAAAACATCCAAAAATGGGCTCAAACATCAAACAAGAAACACAAAGGTCAAGATATGAACTTTATACATCCAATAACTCAGAAATATGGAGAAGATGTTGGATCCAAGCTTGTTCCTTACTTCCTTACACCAAGATGAACTTCTTTGTTCTTCAAGTTTCACCAATAGAGGACATTAACCTCAAGACCAAGCCACCAAGCTCATTTCCATAAAAGCGAAACTAGGGTTTTGAAATAAAGGGATGGAGGCTGAAGAAGATAACCTAGAATGGGGGGTTAAGATACTTAAATATGGGATCAACCCTAAAAATACATGGGCTTGGGCCTGAACAGCTGCCACGCCGTGGCTGCCTTACGCCATGCCGTCGTGGCTCCATAAAACGCATGTTCCTTTCCGACATGGCCAAGTCGTGGGCATCCTTGCACCACGACGTGGCACAAAGTTTTATTCAAAACTCCATCTTTAGTCCTTGATGACAAAAAGGCTTAACCAACCTGGAACACGTATGTTACATCGGATAATCCTAAAAACCCTAGATTTGTGTTTAAAATAATAATATTTTAATCCAAAGCATATCTAGTTTCCTTATCTGACTTGGAGGCTTCCAGAAACGCTAAAGAGGGCTCCTAGAACCATCCACCCTAGGAAAGTTCTGGAATCTCTCCTCTTCTCAACTCTTAAACTATTACAGTCTAGTCCCTATACTTCTAATTAATTCTAATTAACCCAGAATTAATTCTAAATTAATTCTTAATTAATTATTACTATTTCTAATTAATATATTAGTCATATAATATATTAATAAATCATTTATCTCTCTTTTATTATCTATCCAGGTTATTTCCTGGTTATGAGAGCAACCTAAAAAGGAATTTACTTTTATTCATCAAGATTATACTAATTTAGTTAAGACCTAAGACACTTAATCCAACATTAAGAATTAGACCCGGGGAGTGGAGCCTTGACTTAATGGATTAAGTAAAAATAATCCTTACGATGCAGCCTAGGCGTGGTGCGACATTTAAGGGTGTGACAAGTTTTGTGACAAACCGGAACATGTCTGATTTTGGAGATTTTCCCGACTAATTTGTCCTTTAGTGGGTGCGGGGCGTGTTGTGGACGGCGCTACACGCCTGCTAACCTGAGAGTTGACTTTTTTTTGACCAATTTGACTTTTGGTTAAACTTTGGTGGATCTAAGTATTTGTCTAAGTACTGGTCTCGGTTTGTCATTAAGTAGCATGTATTAGCTATCTTTGTACTAGGGGTTGCCGGTGAGCTTCTACTATTTAACTCAAGCGAGTTCTCTCATGATACTATATATTGTAATATGTGTCCTAGCGTGCTAGGATGTAGTTAAACTATGGTATGTTGTTAGGCAGGTAGACTTGTAGACCATTATTTGTAATGTTGAATTATCTATTTTTTTGTATTATGTGTATGTCAGCATATTTATGATGGGTTGAGGCGTCTAACTTTATGCGGATGGTCAAGATACGGAGCATAACCGTTTTTATGCTAAGGGTCATAGGGTGAGTTGATGACAAGATCAACATTAAGTGTTGTGAGTCTAGACATTTACGAGGGTCGAATTGATGGCAAGATTAACTAAAGTGTTGTGAGCCTAGATACTTGTTGGGTTGGTACGGACTCATTGCATGTATGTATGTATGTATATTGTTGTATGTGGTATTTTGGGAACTCACTAAGGTTTTGTTTGTTTTTTTGAACCGGAAACGTCTGAAGTCTGCGAATCACATCTGCAACCCTCTTCAACAGAAGAGGTGGACCAAATTACTGCAACATATAATAAGAAGTTTGTTTGTTTTTTAACGTATGCAAACTGCTGCAATAAACTGAAATTTAAATAAATTGGTTTTACGAACGTAAAATAGTTTCATATAACAATAATTGTTCTGAGAATATACATCATAGACCATATATTACAAGTGATTTTTTTTTTGTTAAACATATTATATTTATTCAGTTAATTTATATTAAATTTTGTGGTTGTTAACCAAATTGTTGTTTAACATATAAGATATGTCACATATTAGAGCAAATATAAAAGTCACTATTTATCTACGCCACATCGAATAAAACCAATTCAAAACATTTATATAAAATATTTAAACATAATAATTGCTAAATAACAATAAATAAAATTATTAATTTAGCAACCAACATGTTCATTTTATTCAATTCTCCAAGACGATGATTATTTCTTCAGTTAGCTTCAACAGACTTGATAATTTTAGTGATTAACTTTATAATTTATTAATATTTAGTTATGGACAATGTAACACAAAAAAATATTTATATGAAATTCAGCAAACAGTTTTGCAATTATGTAAAATATACTTAAAATGTTTATAATATCCTTCATAATATTATTAAAATAATGAACATGTTGAAAAAAAATAAAACAATTCTATGTTGAATAATATAACTTAAAGTAAAGTGAGAAGATGTTTGAAAAAGATGGTCCAATGTTGCGTCGTGCAACATTTAAGTCAGACGTCTTATAAAAAACAAGCAGTTGCAAAAGACCAAGTGTTGCGCGTGTTCTGCGCGACGCAACAAAAGTGGCCAAAAACGGTTTTTTTAGAAAAACAAATAGCCATTAATATTTGGTTTAAAGTTGTTGATTAAATATTTTTCAGATACTTTATCTGTTCATGGAATTGTACACACAAATCAACAGTTTTATGATTCGAGATTCAGCGTTGTTTTTCCTCTTAACTTTGATTTTGAATTATATTGTATGAAACAATGGTTTTGTCTTGATTGTATCTTTATGAAAATAAGTGTTTATTCTATTCTAAAAATGAAATTTTTATTCGGAAATTCAGAACGTTACATTAATCAAAAGTACTTTGCTATTTGTGTTATCCCCGTATGTCGATGTCTATTTTGGTGATGGAAGCGAGATATTTTGGGTCGAGTTGCTCAATTGTCCCTTGTTCCTTAGTTTTCTCATATTCACAATAGACAAAACAACAAATTTGGTCCTTGTGGTATTTAAAAAACTTTGGATAGGGTCCAAAAAGTTTTCAACTTGCATGGAAGGTCCAAAATCAATGTTTTCTCTGGGTTTTTGGTCCAAAAAAACTTAAAAAGACGGTTATGCCCTTTTGATTTCTTTTTCCCTTTTTCTATAAGTATTTTAATGCTATTTTGACTTTAAAAAAAAGAATTTTCCACCCCCACCCACCGTACTCTCTCTCTCTCTCTCTCTCATCTGCTTGATCTCCTCAAGACTGGAGTCTAATGAAGAATCCTCATAATACCCTTTTTCCTTATCATAATGCCCACCAAATTCCTTGTAAGAATCACTCATGTTGTTACGATGCTGATCATATACACCAACAGTACTACGATACTCATAATGGCAGCTCCTATCGGAATTAGAACTACAACTAGCTTGATCACCTCCAAAGAAGACAAGGGTAGAACTGTCCTTTACCTCCTGCTAGTAAGTCTCCGTGGAAACCAAACCGAGAAATCCATGATCTGTGATTGGAGAACTGGATGTTGACGATTAGTAGCATTAATTCTAGGGCTAGATGGGATAGATAAGGTTTGATCATGGTAGCTAGAAGTATTTGTACTGTACAAATATGATGGAGACGATGATATTGATGATGATAATGGAGCATTAACATTGATATTACTATTTTGAAAAATCGATTGTGATGGGTAGCTGTAGTTTGTTGAAGAACTGAAACATTGAAGATGTTGAAGAGGTTTTCTAAGTTTGGGTAGGGTGATTAAGTTGTTCATCATCTTCTTCTTCAGCTTTGTGTTCCAGTAGTTCTTGATATCATTGTCTGTTCTTCCTGGTAACTGTGCTGCCATTATTGACCACCTGCACATTAAGTTATTCAAACTTCTAGATTTATGCATATATATTCACATCTGAGAGATCTTGACAAAAATCTCCATTTTTGCGTGCTAAATACCACAAAATCGCCCTTAATACAGAATCTTGAAATAGAAAGTGTACCTGCTACCAATGCTAGCAAAGAGGACACATATAACTTTATCTTCATCATCAGAAAATTCGCCATGTTTAATGTTTGGTCTCAGATAGTTCAACCATTGAAATGAGAGAGAAAGAGTCAAAGAGAGAGAGAGAGAGAGAGAGAGAGAGATGGGAGAGAGAGAGAGACGGAGAGAGAGAGAGAGTACGGTGGGGTAGGGGTGGAAAATTCTTTTTTTTAAGTGAAATTATCATTAAAATACTTATAGAAAAAGGGAAAAAGAAATCAAAATGGCATAACCGTCTTTTTTAGTTTTTTTGGACCAAAAACCCAGAAAAACTTTGATTTTGGACCTTCCATGCAAGTTGAAAACTTTTTGTAGCCTATTTAAAGTTTTTTGAATACCACATGGACCAAATTTGCAGTTTTGTGTTCACAATACTTTTGAGGCGACTGAAGGCTGCTAATTATTATGTGGATTGATTGTTTGGTCTTTGACTGTGATTTTCCCTCCACTATAGCTTGCGCCTAAACTTATCATATTGTGCTATTGTTGTTTCAGCTTACTTTTTTTTTAATTAATATTATAATCGTTTTAAAAACTTTGTATTTGTCATATCCATGTTCGTTTTTATTTTCAATAAAATTTGTCGTTTAAAAAAACAAAATATAAAATTCTAAGTCAAAGTCACCACAATTATGATTTAGTAAAAATTTTGGGTTTCTAATTTTCTTTATTTTACATTATAAAAAAACCCTATTGTCAAAGGTGTTTTTTTATTTTATTTTATTATTATTTTGTTTCGGACTTCAGATCGGTTTGAGACCATCAATGTGAGCAATGTGGGTAATTAAGGTTCCATGAGTTATTTGGGGGAATTGAAATTGAGGCTATATTCTGGAAATGGTTAACAAAAAAGATTCTTTTTGTTTTTTCTCTATATTTATTATGTTAATCTAATTGGTACGACCCTGCGAAAACCTCAAAGGATGGAATTTAAACCCTGAAAAAATTTAAATGCAATCATTTGCAGACAGCGGACGATATACAACTCAGGGTGTACAAGTGGATTAAACACAAGGCTAAGTTGAATTTCTTAAATTGGAATGATTGGTGTTGTTCTCCTATCTTGTTTGGTAATCTATAATGTTTTTTTTTTGTGTACTGTTTCTAACATCTTGCTAGCTTTTAATATATCTTGCCTTTCAAAAAAAAATTACAAGAACGAGAAAATATTTCACTAGAGATCTCGACTTCTAAACCTAATTAATATGGTTGAGGAATCTTATTTATAGAATCTTGACACAAAGTTATAGAATAATTAAAGAAACTCAAACATATAGTCAACGCCGCAAAATTCTTATTCTTATAAATGTTTAAAAACTAGGGGTTTTTTTTTATAAAAAACTGTAACATTTTCTTCTTAAAAACTAATAATATAATAATAAACAAAAGAGAAAACTAAAATTTCAGGTTTCTAACCTAATTTATATCTCTTTTTACCTAATTTGGAGTAGGACCATACAATTTAAGAAATAATAATCATTACTAAAAGAGATATATACCGGTTACTACAAAATATCATCGGATTCATATACATGTTCATGCTCTAAAAAGTAATATATATATATATATATATATATATATATATATATATATATATATATATATATATATA